GTCTCAAAAAAAAAAAAAAAGAAACCCCAGCTTCAGGTGAAGGCCTGTGGTTGAGTGAGAAGTGAAGGCTGGGGAGGAGGCCTCTGGGGAAGGGGTGGGGCACCCCCCCTTACGTTGCTCCCTCTTGAAGATGAACACAAGATAAATGGAAGAGTGCCACCCTCTGCTTTCAGGAAAGGTTTATTGTGGTGAGTGCCTTCTGTACAGTCGACTGCAAACGGAACGCAGGGGATGGGTGCCCAGAAGCACCTGCGGCAGAGGTGCACGGGAAGCCCGGGGCCCAGGCTCATGCAACATGACGCTCACCGCGGCTCAGGCCGTGGGGCTATCATCGGGAAATGTTTTTAAAAAATGGAGATGAATGTTACAGAATTGGACAACCTGAAGTGCTTCTCAAAACCAGAGGAAGGAGGTTCTTTGCCATTACTCAGATGCCTGTGCTGGGGGGAGGCCTGACTAGCAACAGCTGTGGGCGGGCTGGAGGCTGGTGCAGCTTCGGGGCCCCAGGGCCAGCTGTCTCGGCCACCGCCTGCGTGGCGCTCACTCCGAGGCGTCAGTGAGAGCGACTGATGGCTGCCACTTCCAGGACCCACCAGACGGGCCTCAGGAAACTTTACTGCAGCCAAAGCTCAGGCTGTCGAGGGGGTCCCAGCTCTGCTGCATTCTGCATCCCAAGTAGGCACGTGAAAGAAGGGTCTCAAGGGCGACTTCGGAGCACAGGCCCTGGTTCCCTGTGAGGACTCAGGACCTGCAGGAGCAGCGGGTTGCAGTGCCACCTGCTGGGTGCCATGGGCCAGGCCTGGAGTCCACACCTCCGAGTTCGAGTTCGGTGTCTGAGGTCTTGCCCACCCTTGTAAGCGCCTGGCCCTGTCCTCTCAAGCTGCCATTGCCCAGCACGGCACTCTGAAAGTGGGTGGTACAGGCGGTTGGAGGGACAGAGGCCAGCTCGAGCCTGCTGGTGGCAGGGCATTTTCCCACAGGGATACAGGAAGCCACCTTGTCTGGGACAGGCCCTGGGATCGGGAGTTACACTACGTTGTACCAAGCTGAGGGGGCCGCTGGAATGATTTGAGCAGCTCTGGGAGTGGGGAAAAAAAGACTAATTTCCAAACCTGTTCATTCTCAGTTAAAAAGCAGTTTTATAAACCCGCAATCCGCTCCAGATTCACGCAGTAATATTTCAGCAGGAGAAGGTGGTCGTGGGAAGTCAGCCCAGCAGACGCTCCCTGACCTGGAGGCCTGCCTGCCTTTCCACAGTGTTTCCCATGTTTGGCGTGGACTTCAGGAAAAGCAGCTCACACTCCTGTGGTGTGGGCAGTGTGTTCCACAAACACCTCCAGACACAACCAAGAACTATAGGGCGGCGTGCTGTGGTCAGCACACGTGCTCAGGGGACCCAGTGGAGTCAAGGCCAGCGCCCTTCCCTCCAGGAACCAATCCTTGGGAAAACAGCCATGGCCATGCTGCAGTCTGGTTCCCAGTGGGGCTGCCTCAGTCCTACCCCCAGCACCCTCAAAAGCTGGGGTGTCTGCGTGTCCCTTCACATAATTGTTATGGTACCACCTCCTATAATAATAATATAAAATAAAAACATCTGATGTCTGGGTATTTTCCCTGCTTCCAAATTTGTAGACTCCCAGGAAGAAAAGATTTTTTGCAGCCTTTTAAAATCTGGTTCTCAGGCAGTTTATCCATCTGTATCGATTCTGTGGGCTGTAAAAGAAAAGACAGACGCAGGCGGTTAGAAGGTGGCTGTTCCCATGCCCCTTTCTCCTGATGGGGCAACACAGGGCACCAGCTGCTCAAAGTCAGCTGCTTCTGGAACATGGAGGTCTGCTTCCATCCCCCCGCCATTCAAGGTGCATGCTCCAAGGAGCTCCCTCTAATTCCACCTGTGAAAGGGCCCCAGCACCCTTTCTCAGGGCACAAATCATGGGCTCTGAGTGAATCATGGGTCAAGGGCTAGCTGGCGTCTCTGCTCCCAAGCGGGCAGCTGAGGGAAGGGGGCTGGAAGCCCACGCACTGAGCAGCGGCTGTGAGGTCTCCGCCCCCGTTAGCTAGTTGCTGCCAAGGGACAGCTACTCACACTGCTTTGGTATCCGGAGGGCCTCACTGTCCAGCACCATCACCTGATGCAGGACGCCTCGGAACTGATAGAGCACTTTCAGGTTCTTCTCTTCACCCACACATGGGTCATAAAAGCCAGGCAGCCCAGCCTGTAACAAACAAATTGCTACTCTAAATACTCCAGATACTCCACAGGGTGTAAGACCCAGCGCTCACTCCTCACTACCAGCGGGGGTGCAGTGTGCACAGCCTTTCCTAGGGAAATGCAAAATTTGGAGCTTGAAGAAAAAGAAGCAAGAATCTGGAAAAGTTGCCAAGACTTGCTTCTTAGTAAGGTCCCTTCCTCACACCAAGTAGACCTCTATCTTCACAGAAAGCCCACCAAGATAGAGACACTAGACGACTTCCAGGGAGCCAGGAGCTCTCTGGCCTGAGCTAACCTGCATTTTCATGGACACAAGGCCCCAGGCCCCAGAGGTGAGATCCGCACGTTACAAGTGACCTCACGCTCCTTTTGGAATGAGGCAAAAATAAACAGAATCACATGCCATGAAGGCAGGTGTGTGTTGTTTGCTGGTGTGGCTGGCACACAGCAGGAGCTCAGTAAATCCTTACTGAGTGACTGGATGAAAGAAATGACTGAATGAAGCGAATAGCTCCAACGTGGGTATTACTCGGGGGCTGGGCAGCATCCCACACAGCAGATGCCGATGACGGCAAAGATTCCACTGCAAAGGGCCAGGCTGTCCTTGTCAGACTGAACCTGTTCTTCAAACCACTTTTTGTTTTGGAGACAGGGTCTTGCTCTGTCACCCTGGCTGGAGTGCAGCGGCACTATCACAGCTCACTGTAGCCTCAGCCTCCCGGGCTCAACCAATCCTACCGCTTCAGCCTCCCGAACAGCTAGGGTGACAGGCGCATGCCACCGCACCCGGCTAATTTTCTCTCTTTTGTAGAGACAGGGTTTTGCTATGTTGCCCAGGCTGATCTCGAACTCCTGGGCTGAAGCTATCCGCCCACCTTGGCCTCCCAAAGTGCTAGGATTACAGGCATGAGTCGCTGCGTCTAGCCTGTTCAGATCTGTGAGCAGTTGGCACATGATGGCTGGTGCTGCTGTACCTTGGAGGCCTCCGTTAGGATGAGCTTCGAATCCTTCACCAGGCACTGCAGGGGCACAGTCACGTCAATCACCTTCACCTTCTCGCTCTTCCTGCTCTTGTCATTGACAAACTTCCCGTACCAGGCATTGACGATGATGAGCCCTGAGGACGGACTCACAGTAGAGGAAGGCCTCCTCTGGGCACTCCCTGTACAGCTTGGAGACCCCCAGCGCCCACCCTGGCCGAAGAGAGGACACATGTTCTTACCCATTCTGGACTCTTCTGCCTCGATTATCCTTCGGACAGATTCCTGCATCAGCCGGACCTGCCAGAGAACAAGGATGACATGGTTAGGGCCCTGCCAGGCCCGCTCGACCTCTGGTCGGAGGGCCACAGGCAGATAGTCTCTGTCCAGGTCAACATACCCAATCAGGGCCTGGAGAGGAAGAGAGTGGGCGCCCTGACAGCTCTGCTACCCAAGTGGCTGGCTTTGAATCTCCTAGACCTGGGGCAGGCAGCTCGGTCAGAAGGTGAGAAGCTGAACTGGCATGACCCCTCCTGTGACCATTGGTGGGAGCTCCCTTTCTAGGGATAAATGCATGGGTGGGATTTCTTGACCTAATAAAAAAACACTGAATGCGCTGTCAGCTTTAAAAAGAGATTTCACAGGAAAAGCTGGACTCCTAGCTACTCTATAGGTCCCATGTTCTCCAGTGGCATCATTCTACTGGGCATAGCTGTGCCGTGCCCTCAGACAGGCATGTGCTCGCTGGGCCATGCACATGGCCCACGGCCCACTTCAGCCCTTCTTGCCGTGAAGCACTTGGCAGTGTGCTTGCCACTTACCCAGGACGCCGGCTCCCTCATGCTCCGTAAAAGGCAGAGCACTCAGAGGGAAGAAAAAGAAGCCAATAGTCACCACTTCAAAAAAGCCCTTGTTACATCTTTGGAGGGTAATTATCTTTAGGGCAGGGACTGCAGGGCTGAGTACCACATCCC